AGAATCTTGCTTGCGTGTGAAATCAATGAGATTGTTCTATAGTTTCACACTCTGTTGGGTCACCCTTCTATCTCAAATTATTCTGCTACAGGAAGAATCATATTCATACATGGGAGAAAGTTCTTGATTTTTTAATAAAAAAATAACTTTTCCCAAGAGACTTCTTTCTCCAGCAAATAACATTTGTCTCATTTTTCCCTCTTCTCTTTTATTTTTTATTAGTATTAATTTTAGTGAAAGTTTGTAGAGACTTTGGATTTTCATTCATTCTTTGTTGCACCTTTCTCCCTTCCCAACCTCCCCCTGCCCCAAGTTCGCTCTTCTCTTTGAAAAGTAAAATTCTTTGATTGTTATACAATCATCTCACCCCAGTAAGAATAGAAAAAATTAACAGAACAGCAAACAACAAATGCTTGTGAGGTTGTGGAGAAACTGGAACCCTTATTCAGTGTTGGGTGGGAGTGTAAAATGGTGCAACCACTATGGAAGGCAGTGTGGCACTTTCTCAAAAAGTTGCAAATAGAAATATCTTTTGTCTTATTTTTAAGATGCTCTGGTGGCATAGTGGGTATACTATGGGCTTCAGACTCTTCCCTTAAGGACTTACAGCTTCAGAAACAACCCTATTAGAGGTTCACGAAGGGTGGAAACTGAGGGAGGATGTAATTTTTTTTAGTAGTTGGAAAATAGTTTTATAATCTTGCCATTGGATTAAAAGAAAACAAAAATACATTTTCAAAGTCAAATTTCTGATCGTTATTGTTTATTAGACTCTGTCACAACTTTCAGATTTTGAAGCTTGGAGAAGGCAAATGTTTCCAACCTCACATTCTGTTTATTAAATGCTTCTCAGTGGATGGGAGTCTAAAAGACAACACTTCAATATAATCAAGATAGAGGCTACATAGACTAAGTAATGAGTAAGACTGGAATGACTCTTTAAAGGGTTCAATTAATTTAAAAGTTTTAAAAATATTTTAGACTATAGACAATATATTAATATGACTATACATAAAAGAGACTTCTCTGATGTCCAGTGAGTCAGGAGTTGTACTGTCAATCCAAGTCAGAAGTTAGAATTCACCAGATGCTTTGTGGGAGAAAGATGTACAATCTCCTCCTGTGCAATTTACAGTGTTTGAAGATTTGCTAGAGGGTCAGCTGTGAGTTGGTTCCAACTCAAATGCAATGGGAGAGAGAGAGAGAGAAATGAGCTCTGGTGACAGTACCTATAAGGAGTTGCACTAATATCCAGAAGGTAAACCCTTTCAAGGAAACTCCTTAGAAATAAAATGGTCAATCTCCTGTGAAATTAACAGTTTCTGACCTCTGGAAACCAAATAATGCGTCAATTATGAGTTAGTTCAGACTGGAAGGCAATGAGTGATTGAGCAAACAGGAAAGATTAAGGGAAAAAATAAGATTTAATTTTATTTATGATTATGAATTCATAAGTAGCATTTAATCAGCATTTAAATAATTTATTCTCTAAAAATTCAAATGTGGAAATAAATCATTTCTACAAAATCTTCAAATGTAATGTTCTAGAAATCTTTTGACTTGGGATTCTGACAGTATATTATGACATATTGGCAATTCAATGATTTCTGCCTATGAAATACTGTCATTAGGTGCCATTGGTATGATCATGACCCATAGTGACCCTATAAACAGCAGCTTGGTACCCTGAACTATCCTATGCCATCCTCATCATCTCAGATATATTTGAGCTCATCGTTATAGTCATCATGTCCATCCATCTTCTTTTTTTTTATTTTGTTTTAATAAAATGTTACAGAGACTTTGGATTTCCATTCATTCATTGTTGCTCACTTTCCTCCCTGCCCACCTCTCCCCCCAGTTCATTTTTTTCTTTGAAAATGAAAAAAAAAAAACTCTTTCATTGTTATACAGTCCCCACTATGCTCCAGTCCACTCCACTATGTAACTTTCATTCTGGACTCTTATCATGACAATAATACCTAATCATATATTCCTCCTAAACAGTTCTCTTCATCATCTATTTCAATACAGTATACATTATTTAGCTCTTAGTTTCTCCCAACCCCCATGTCAGTCTCTTTTTACAACAGTGGTGCTATGCAGTATTTGTCTTTTTGTGACTGAGATATTTCACTCACATAATGTCCTCCAGGGTCACCCATTTTGAATAATATTTCATGAGTTCCTTGTTTTTCAATGCTGTGTAATATTCCGTTATGTGAATATACTAGAGCTTCTCCATTCATTTGTTGATGGCCCTTGGGTTGTTTCAGCTCTTTGCTATTGCAAACAAAGCTACAATGAACATGGATGTGCATGTATATCTGCTTGGGTGGCAGTTATGCTTTATTTAGGGTAAATTCCCAGTAGAGGAATTGCTGGGTCAAATGGTATTTCTATTTGCAACTTTTTGAGAAAGCACCATACAGTCTTCCATAGTGGTTGCACCATTTTACACTCCCACCAACAGTGAATAAGGGTTCCAGTTTCTCCACAACCTTGCCAGCATTTGACATTTGCTCTTCTGTTAAATTTTGTTATTCTTACTGGGTGAGATGATATCTCATAGCTGTTTTGAAAGAAGACTACTTTTAATGAGATAGTGTGAGACAGTGAGTTCAGCAATGGTTTCAAGTATGTCAGAGTTGATGAGGATGGCACAGAATAGACAGGATTCAGATCTGTTGTTAATAGGGTTGCTATAAGTCATACTTGACAACATCTAATAACAACAACATCAGGTAGCGGGCAGATAACAAGATATAAGTTTGAATGTGATACTGTGTGTACAGTGTATTAAGGAGATGAATTAAAGAAAATTATTTTAGTTGCTCATATATTTTTTTAAGAGTCCTTGAAAGTTTAGTTTTACAGGGTACTCTTCAGTCTTTCAGCATAGCCATCTTAATTAAATCCAGTTTGCACTTTTTCCTCATTAGGTTCTTAACCTCCAATTTTGTGCTCTTTTTGGACCAGCCTTTTCAATGCTCCCTTGACATCTTTGTTTCTCAGAGTGTAAATGAGGGGATTCAAGGTGGGAGTTACCACAGTATACAAAAGGGTTATAAACTTTCCCTGGCTGTGTGCATACGGGCTATTGGGCTGGATATAGACAGCAGTGATTGTCCCATAGAAGAGGGACACTACTAACAAGTGGGACCCACATGTTCCTAAAGCTTTACGCCAGGCTTGGACTGACCTAATCCTCATCACTGCTTGAGCAATGAATCCATATGAGATCAAAATGAGTGAGAGGGGGAGGAGAAGCAGTACCAAGGAAGCCACGAAGAGCTGAACCTCATTGGAATGAACATCTACACAGGCTAGCTTGATCATGGCAGGCACTTCACAGATGAAGTGATAAATCTTCCGGTTTCCACAAAAGGGCAGACGAAGGGTGATGGTGCCTTGAATCAGAGTGTTGCCCAATCCACTTAACCACGCCATTCCTGCAAGTGACTGGCAAAGTCGTGGATGCATAACAGTGACATAATGAAGTGGCTGGCAAACAGCAGCATAACGATCAAATGCCATGACAGCTAGAAGAACACACTCTGTGGATCCCAATGCCAAAGACACATAGAGTTGAATAGCACAGCCTAAAGGAGTAATTGTCTTGGATGGACCATGCAGGTTCCATAGTAACTGGGGCACAATGCTGGTGGTAAAGCAGAGGTCAACAAAAGAAAGATTGGTAAGAAAGTAGTACATGGGTGTATGGAGCATGGGATCTAGAACAGAGACCAGGATGATGGCTGTATTGCCTACCAGTGTCAGAAGGTAGGAGATTAGCACAGCTACAAAGAGGATCTTTTCAAGCTGTGGCTGGTCTGAGAAGCCCACCAGTATGAAATCACCTCCAAAACTCTCATTACTAGTCTTCATCACCCTATTCATGAAAAGGAGAGAGACATGTGAACAATACAGATGTTGTTCCACAACCCAAAACCAAACAACATGGATATTTCTTGTTATTAAGTTCTGTCAAGTCTGAAGCAACTTATAGCTGACCCTCCATTGGGTTTTCAGAGGCAGTAAATCACACAGGAGGAGATTGCCTCTCTTTCTCACAAGGGGCAGCTGGTGGATTCAAGCCATGTGCTTCAGGTTGGCAGTGGGACTCCTTGATGCTAGGCCACTAGAGTTCCCAACCTTGAGAAGAGGGAAGAAAAAACCAAACAAAAACAAAACACAAAATTACACTTGACCGAAATTGACCCTGAAAGTTAGGAATAATGGTGGTTTGTATGGAGAGAGATAAGGACAAGAGAAACCTGTGATTCCAGGAGGAAATTGAAAGTATGAAGAACTTTCTTAGAGAACTGCTAAAAGACAAGATAGTATAAAATTTTAAAAAGGACAAGTAGTCATTAATAGTTAATAACTTCTTGATTATTTCAATTTTTTTCTACTTTTTGACAAATTTACCTCAGTTTTCAACAGCATCTTGTAAACTGAGAGCAAGTGTAAGTAAATCAATCAATAACATTTTCTGTGCAACTGCTGTATTAATATTAAAAAACGACTGGTGATCGAGTGGTTAATGTTTATCTGCTAACTGAAATACTGAAGAGTTATAATCCACTAGCTGCTCCTAAGGCTAAAGGTGTAGTAATCTGGTTTCCTAGAAATTTTAGTCTTGGATATGTTATTTCCAGTTCTGGGGAAGCTCTGTTGCCCAGTAGGGTTAGTTCAAACCCTATTAAAGGAATGGGGACCAGTGGTAAGTAAGTAGTAAGTAAGCAATACACCCGAGCTTTTTTAAAAATGAAACACACAAACAGACAAAAACCAAAACAAAACAGCAGCAGCATACTATTACTGAAATCCTTTATGCTGACACATGTATTTACCAATATTATGATGAGATGGAATGCAAACTGCGTAATTGCATTGTTTTACTTATTAATATGATGCACATTTTAACATGTTGTTATGAGCCATAGAGTCACTTGTGACTTATACAGCTCTGAACCCTGCTCTGTCTTGAGACAACCTCATTGTTTTAAACAAACACCCTAGTCACTGAGTCAATCCATCTTATCCAGGGTCTTCCTCTCTTGTGCTGTCCCTCTACCCTCTCAAGCATAATGTCCCTCTCTCTGAATTGGTTCCTCCTTGCCCAAAGTATGTCAGATGGAGCTTCAGAATCCTAGCCTCTGAGGAGCAGCTTGGTTTCACCCTCTCAAGGATGAGCCTGTTTGTTCTAGCAGTGTGTAGTATATTAAATATTCTTCTCTAGCACACTATTTTAACTAGAATTCTCAAAATATTTTTTCATATTTTGTAAAAAAACCAAGATATTGGCTACATTATTTTCATTTTCATGAAACTAAAACTTATCAAAATTGTATTCTTTTGATACCTTTCATTAAAATTTTATCTAAAATGTAATCTTTTATTTTATATAATGACATCATATAGTAACAAAATAAAAAGTCCCTTTGATTGTCTTACAAAATATGACTTATTGTGATATATTTGATTAATTCTGTGCTATATTTACTTGTTATTATTTAGTTGAAGAATATGAAGACAAAAGAGTAAAAGTAATAAAGCATGTTTTGGATATATGATACCAAAAATATACAATACATCTTTTTCTCATGGCAATCAGACAACCTTTCTTAGCAGGAAAGGTTTAAGTGGTAAATTATGGGATGAATAGCAGTTAACCAGTGAATAAGGTCAGTTCTGAGGTAGGCAGAGATTGTTTTAGACAAAAAGAATAGCATACTAATGTTTAGCACTGAAAAGCGTTAAAGAAAAAGAATGATGTTTAATATCCCAAGTTTAGTATGTAATAGTAAGTAACAGAAAATAGAAGAGAAAGGTTTATGTTCTTTTAAAAATTTGTATTTATTTAAAAATTGTTTAAAAGAGGTGAAAAGGCAATGGAGGCCAAGAAGTAAAGGTAAACAATAGGTTGTATTTTTTTCCTGTATTAAAAAACCCAACAACCTTCTCTTTCATGTAATAGATTGTATTGGCAAAGAACAATGATATTGAAGAAACTACTTACAAAGCTGTTGCAAGTTTCTAAGAAAGAAAGAGTGGTTTTACAGTGTCAGGAAAGATTTGTACTTTTAGACTTTAGATTTTAGGAGTTAGAAATCCCAGGTCATGATGATTACCTAGACGTGGAGAATCAGAAAGAAGAATTGTTCATAGTTTGCAGGTTTATTTCCTGCATAGGAAAACATGAAAACATCTTTCATTGAATTGGTCAACTCACATTTTCCTTATGTTATGGTTAAAAATTTTTAATAAAGAAGAAATATTAAATGTAATTCAATCCATCATACCCAGTATGTCTCCTCACCTTATCTTTTCTTATCACTTATATCCATTTTCTTGCAGCTATCCTAAATAAATTTGAATCTGGAGGTGACCTTTGTAGCCTTTCATGTCTCTTACCTAATCCACCCTTAATGTAATTAAATTTTTAAAAATAACTTTTTATTTATAGAGACCTAGTTGGCAGATCTTTTTCTTTTTTATATCTTACCTTCAGTTTGAATTGCTCATTTCTTTCTTATACTTGACTGATGGAATCATATTCTGACCACAATACAATTCTTGTTTCATAAAATACAAAATTTAAAATTTCAACATTGAATTCAAGGTAATGATGAATTTCTGTTCCTTTTGATTTTCAGAACTATATTCATACGTGTTCCCATTAAAAAGAAAGGTGGTTCAACAGAGTGTGGAAATTATCAAACAATATCATTAATATCACATGTAAGCAAGATTCTGCTGAAAATTATTTAAAAAATGACTGGAACACCACATCAACCGAGAACTGTCAGATGTACAGGTTGGGTATAGAAGAGTTCTTGGTATTAAGGATATTACAGCTAATGTTATATGGATCTTAGCTGAAAGAAGAGAGTACCAGAGGAATGTCTATCTGTGTTTCATTGACTATGCAAAGGCATTTGACTGTGGATCACAACAAACTGTGGCTAACTCTGAGAAGAATGGGAATGCCAGAACACTTAATTGTGCTTATATGAAACCTACACTCTGACCAGGAGGCAGTTGTCAGAACAAAGAAAGGAAACACTGCATGGTTTAATATTAGGAAGAGTGTATGCCAGGGATGTATTCTATCTCCATACATTCTCAATTTATATGTGGAACAGATCATCCTGGAGGCTGGGATCTAAGAGGAGGAATGTGGCTACAGGATTGGGGGAAGACACATCAACAACCTGTGTTATTCAGATGACACAACTTTGCTTGCTGAAACTAAGGAGGACCTGAAGTGCTTGCTGCAGTAGGTCAAGTTCTGCAGCCTGAAGTGTGGATCGAAGCTCAACATCAAGAAAACAATGATTCTAACCTCTGGGCCAATTGGCAGCATCATGATAGATGGTGAAGAGATTGAGATTTTTAAGAGCTTTAGTTTGCTTGGCTCCACAAGCAATATTTTTTTTAACAGCAGCCAGGGAATCAATGATAAATTGCATTGGGAAAGTCTGTTGTCAGAGATCTCTCCAGAGTACTGAAGAGCAACAGTGGCAGTCTGGAGACTGAAGTGCACCTAACCCAAGCCATGGTCTTTGCAATTATGTGCTATGCATCAGAAAGATGAACAATGATTAGGAATGATAGCAGAATTGATGCCTTTGAGCTTTGGTGCTAGATAAGAGTATTGAATATACCATGAACTACTAGGAGAACAAACTGGTTTATCCTGGAGATGATGAAACCTGACTGCTCTTCAGATGTAAGGATTTTGAAGCTCCATCTGACATACTTTGGCATATTGTAAGAAGGGACCAGCCCTTAGAGAGGGACATCATGCTTGGGAAGGTGGAGGAATAGTGCAAGAGAGAAAGACCCTCAATGAGAAAGATTGACTCAGTGCCTGAGGTAATATGGGGGTAGGTGTGTCAGAGACAATAGGGTTGTCTCAGGATAGAGCAGGATTCAGGGATGTGGTACTCACTATGACTCACTATGAGTCACAGGTGACTTGACGACAACAGCAACAACAACATTCTAATATTTATAATCATTCTAACCAAATAAATGTTAGTATTACACTGTTAAAAAACATTTTAATTTCATATTTCTAATTGATTGCCATTGCTATATCTTTTCTTTGTCACCAATATTCCATTTTATTTAATATTAACAAAATATTTTTAAAAGAAGAGAAACATGCTGTTACAACCAAGTCTTTTCCCACTCATAGTGATGTCATGTACTACACAGTAGGATATTTTTCTTTCTATGTAGGGTTTTCTTGGCTATAATCTTTATGAAAAGACCCCGATAGGGTACTAGTTAACTATTGATTGCTAACTGAAAGTCCAGAGTTCAGACCTACTAGTCATTCTGCAGTAGAAAAAATACCAGTCTACTTTAGAATAAATTGTAGGCTGGAATGACCAACACAGACAGTTCTGCTATGGTATATAGACTATAATAAGTGAGAATAGACTAGATGGCACAAGCAACAATACTCTACAGAAACTGCTGAGTCTTTATTTTATGAAAAAATTGGTCAGATTTGAAGTGCCAAATCTTTATGCTAGTTTTGAGCAAGCCATCTGAACTGAACTACCTAGGAATCTGTAGAACAAAATCTACTGAGTTGTATTACTCATATCTGGACCAACACCATCCATGAAAAACTGAAATTTACTCTACAAACTATTTTTCTCCTGTAATCTTGAACTACCTTTGCAACAACATGTCAATTTTAATTGAACTGAGTCGGCTATGGATACTGAAACAAAATCTAAACTCCTAATGGACAAACTCTTAAATGTCTTTTTTGCTATCCTCAGTTCAGATTATATTCAGAGCACACTTGTTTTTCTTATGTATTGTAGAATCAGGACCAACTCATAGTGAACCCTACAGTGAGT